CTCCCACTCCTAACTCACCGAGACGCCGCAGCATGATACCGTGGTCCACGGTATCAAAAGCCGCTGAGAGGTCCAAAAGAACAAGGACAGAGGAATAACCCCTGTCCCGGGCCCTCCAGAGATCATTAACCAACGTGACCAATGCCGTTTCCGTGCTGTGTCCCGGCCTGAAGCCCGACTGGTATGGGTCTAGATAGCCAATCTCCCCCCCCCCCGTTTATTTTCCTAGTTTTCTAGAAACTGAGTTAAAAAACTATTAATGACAGACAGGAGACAAATACATGATATCAAACTTGCATGAACAGGTAAAGTATAGCAATTTAGTTTCCCATGGTATCAAAAGGAACTCGGGTGTCTAAAGCTAACAAGGTTCAAAAGCCTTTCCATTCACACTTGATAGAACAAAACATCTGAGAGGATGCATTCAAACTCTTGATTTCTCTGCAATGTGCTGATTCATTTCTTGATCTTATTATAATGTTTACATATGGTGCTACTGGTAAGGAAGGTCGCAAATTGTGATCTCATGAGCCCGGAACTCTACAACTGTCATAAATATATACCAGTTGTCAAGCACCCAAATTTTGATCATATGGCCATGGGGATGCTGTGACAGTCATAAGTGCAAGGGGCAGTCAGAAGTCACTTGTTTCAGTGCTGTTGTAACTTCGGATGGTTGCTAAAGTAATGGTTGTAAATCAAGGACTACCTCTATGCGTGTTACCAAAATGAAACTTAAGAAATTGCAATCAGAGTAATAACAGTATGCTGACTAAATAATATTTTAAAAATCTAGCATACAAAACTGGTCCATGGAAAACCCTCTCAATTAAAAGTTCTTTCATCTCTTTTTAATATATTCAGATGGTTGAAAATTGATCTCTTCCATTTACATGAGACCATATATTCAATTAAGGTTTTAAAAGGCTAATAAAACTGATTGCCAAAACAATCTAAGAAGGGGTAGAGACAGAAATAGTGGTGAAAAAGAAAGAGGAGGGAGAAAGAGCCAAGAATCTGTAGCCTGGGGGAAGAGGAAAAAGGGAATGAAAGGAGGCGGTTTTGGCGGGAAAAGGGAGAGAGCAAGGGAGAGAGAGAGAGGCAATAGGGAGACGTTACTCTCTTTAGAGGGGACAGCCCTGAGGGAAAAGAGAGAGAGAAGGAAAACAGGGCCTATGGGCTGATCTGGCCTCGACCCCAGCGAGTGAAGGGGGAAGGAAAAGGAGATTTTGGTAGGAAAGGGGAGAGCAAGAGGTAGAGAGCGAAGGCGAAAGGGAGAGGTGAGTCTCTTTGGGAGGACAGGCCTGAGAGAAAAGGGAGAGAAAGGAAGCAGGGCCTACTGGCTCACTTGGCCTCCACCCCAATGAGTAAAGGGGGGGGAGCATTGCTTGAGGATAGGTTGAGGAAAAGGTAGAGAAAGAAGCCTCCTTTCTCTAGGAAGGGGAAAGGGAGAGATTGAGAAAGGAAGGCAGGGCCGACCAGCCATCTGACCCCACCTCCACGACATGACCGGCCTGCTGGGAGGAGACTGCACAAGGGATCGGCTGGAAGGACAAGACAGCAGAGTCCCATTGACCCAGGCAAGTGGAGATGCCTGAGCGAGGGATCAGAGTGGACTGGCAGCTACAACAATGGGCTGTAGCAAGGGAAGGCACCTGGGATGGTTGGAAAAGAGGGCCAGGGAAACCCAGACTCCAGCGACTTTCAGGAATAGCGCTACCCGTCTTTCACGTTACATGCTCAGACAGTCTTCTGGTCACACAAAATAATCTGAAATACTCACATGCACATTTGTTCGCAGAATTGTGCCAAACTGTCATTGCATTTTTTTGCCGGTTCAGGAATGCCTCTTCAGTTCTAATTTCTGTTTTTTGCACAGTGGAGCCATGAGCATTTGTTTGCTCTGTTACAACGGATAAGCCTGTGCACAGAAGGTAAACACAGAAGGTAAACACATTTCAATAATCCAAGCAGCATTAACCAGCCAAGTTTTGGAAATCTGCTGGAATACTATATTAAAACCACACAAGTTAATTGTGTTTACCTTAACACAGAGATTTACACAAAATATTTACATCAAGAAAGTTTACTTTTCTCCAACAAATACAAGCATCAGATATATAGCTTCAAACCTATCTAAAAACTGATTTAAAGAACACACATTTGGCTTATACACACAGTTTAATATCCAAAGGATGGTGGGCGGTTATTTATTTATTTATTACGCTCATTTCACACAATACGTCTAGGCAGCATATATAAGAATAATCAATACACACATATATAACCATTAAAACAATCAATTTAAATTAAAAATAAAAACAAAATAAAAGCAACTAAAAAAATCATGGCAGCAAAACATACAGAGTATATTGCATTAATTGTCCTATAGCCACCTAGCAGGCTCCATCCTATCAGGGATCCCCAAACTAGCTGACAAAAACAATTTTTAAGGGCCTTCTGGAGGCGAGAAGCCTTGAGGGCACAGGGTGAAGGCTACAAGACAAAAACTGTGTTCCTAGGTCCTGCCCAACAATACTCCATGGCTGATGTGGCCGACAACAGACCTCTCCTCATCCTATAATTGTGCTATAATCCGTTCTACAATGTCAAGGATAAAATATTAACCCCATATTGGACACGAGGATTAAACTGAGAATGGGATGGTTTGTACAAGATAATCCAATCATTTCAGAGTAAAGGTTTATTTCTAGCTATATGATTTATAGCTTAATTTCTGTGCTGTAATTCTAAAGTCCTTAAGAGTTAAGGTCTATGAAAGGTGTTATTACTGGCTTACAGAGAAAAGTGGACAGAACTATGCTACTTGTTAAGGCACCATTAAGGTTCAAATGTTATTTCACTTTGACAATAAATTATGCTCAAAGTTGTTTAGCTTCTCCAGGAAGTGAATTAATTATGCTTTAATCCTTGTAAATCAATAGGACAAGTTAGTCATGACTAATTTAAATTCCCCTGATTTCAACAGATCTTAATTTAATGTACATTCAATTCAATGTTTTTCTTACACCATATATGCTGTGATTTAATGTTTTACCAAAGGATGTACACAAGTACTTTTTTATGGATTATTGGTCAATAAAAGACCATTACAGCTCCAGCGAAGGACAGTATACATTTATTTTAATTAGGACTCCTGTAGCATCAATGGGTTGCAGAGTGTTTTATAACTCTTTTCTCACAATCACCCCTATCTCAGGAGGATTGCTACTACAATTTTAGGAAATGTCGATCAAGAGTGATGATGAGAAACATGTTCAGTTTACCGATAAGGATTATGGAGCAAAAATCTAAAACCATGCCCTCAGGACAGGAAGAGAAAGACTTCTAGAAGACTTCCTGTGACCGCCATAGCAAGCTGATAATTGGACCACATTTATGAGAAGAATCGCAATGGGGTGCTGGATCCAGGCTGGCAAAATCTCCCTGGAGGAAGGAGAGAGGTCCCTCCAGATAGTAGGTCCTTGTGAGTAGACCAGAGGAAGTGCCATTTTGCAGTTGGCTTATAAGATTCAGGGCCGAGAATTGGGATTTCATCAAACTCACACTTGTAATGCAATCTTTTATTGGACGTTAATGTTGATTAAGCCTTATTCCTTAATCACTTTTTGGATTTTTTAAAATTGTACTGGAAAGATTAAGACCCTTCAGGTCAGCAAGGTTTTACTATATTCATCGGGTAAATGTCCTTCTTGTTAGAGGAAAATGATGTAAGTTTGATTTTAAAAGTTTTGGAAATATATATATATATATTTATTATGCAGCAAAAGGGTGCTTGGAATAAGGATTTTAGGAAGGTAACAAAGGATTAAGGGTTCCAAATGGATTTGGAATTATAGCTTTGAATTAATTAAAATAAATTTTCCTATGGGAAATGACAAGTGCTTTGGGTCTTTCTATGAAAAGGGAACTGAGACGTTTGGACTTTAGAGGGAGCTAGAGAATCAAGAAAAGAATGGAGCATACATTTTTAAATACTGGCCTGCCAAACATCTTGATAAAACAGACAGAGCATGTTGTAATGAAGTGACAGGACAGGAAGTTGTAATGGGTTATTTTGAAATTATTAGGGAGAGGGACTTAAATATAAGCAATGAGAAGGGTACAGAGAAAGGTATGGACATACAAATGGTACTGTTGGTTACTTATTTCCTAAAGGAGATATACTGAATAATCACTGAATCAGGAAAACGACTTGGATAACTTTTTCTTACTGGATATACAAAAGAGCTCTTTTAAGGTGTTGAAGAATTTTATTAGAAGTAATAAACAAAAGCTTTACTTATTGCATATACAAAAGAAATTTAAGTTCTAAAAAAATAGCTTAAAAAAGATTAACAGAAAACTAGCCCTCAGACTGTTTCTGAAGGGGTTAAAAATTTAATGCTTGATTAACAGTGGGGCATAAAGATGGCAACGATCAGCTAGGGGGTCAAGGGCTGCAGAGTGCAGGGGGCCAAAAAGCCATAGATGGGGAAGAAGATAGACAGGTAGGGGGATTTGAAGGGTTCTGGGAATCGTAAGTGTGGGCAGGCTGCCAATACCTGAATTTTGATCACATTAACAGCTAGGGTGGTACAACAACTGTAATGTCAGGGACCGGTCATAAATCCCTTCATTCAGAACTGCCATAACTCTGAACAGTTGCTGAACAAATTGTCATAAGTCAAGGACTACCTGCATTTTCTTCACTTCACATACATAAGCATCGCTAGAAGCAGGATTTTCTCATACATATAATCCTAAAAATGTTCTGATAATTTCAGAGCAATACTATATGAATGATAATAAAGTTTTTAAAATGCTACCAGTGTTCTTTTTAAAATTAATAAAATGATCTCTGTTCTCCTGCAAAAATAACAGATTTTACATTGCCTGTATCATAGAAAACAGCTAGAATGTTTACAAATATATTATTTGTAATTAATAATTAAATATGGCAAACTATTAATAGCTTGCTATGATTACACGTTTGATGATGATGATGATAATTATAATATAATAATAGAGTTGGAAAGGATCTTGGAGGTCTTCTAGTCCAACCCCCTGCTCATGCAGAAACCATATACCATTTCAGACAAATGGTTGTCCAGTCTCTTCTTAAAAACTTCCAGTGTTGGAGCATTCACAACTTCTGGAGACAAGTTGTTCCACTGATTAATTGTTCTAACTGTCAGGAAATTTCTCCTTAGTTCTTCTCTCCTTGATTAATTTCCATCAGTTGCCTCTTGTCTGCCTTCAGGTGCTTTGAAGAATAGCTTGACTCCCTCTTCTTTTTGGCAACCCCTGAGATATTGGAACACTGCTATCATGTCACCCCTAGTTCTTCTCTTCATTAAACTAGACATATCCAATTCCAGCAACTGTTCTTTATATGTTTTAGCCTCCAGTCCCCTAATCATCTTTGTTGCTCTTCTCTGTACTATTTCTGTGATTTGAACCCATCACTAGGACCAGATGGATGACACCCCAAGATTCTGAAGGAACTGGCACATGTGATCTCAGAATCACTGAACTATATCTTTCAAAGATCCTGGAGCACTGGGGAACTATCAGAGGACTGGAAAAAGCTGGTGTAGTTCCCATCTTCAAAAAAGGGGGGGAAATGGATCCAGAAAACTACAGACCTATCAGCCTGACCTCAATACTTGGGAAGATTCTGGAAAACATAATTAAGCAATGAATCAGTGAACACCTTGAGGCAAAGTCATTACCAAAAGCCAACATGGGTTTGTGAAAAACAGATCATGCCAGACAAATCTTATTGCATTCTTTGATCAGGTGACAAAATTAGTGGACCAGAGGAATGCTGTGAATGTAATTTACTTGGACTTCAGTGAGGCATTTGATAAAGTAGACCATAACCTACTACTTGGTAAGATAGAAAAATGTGGGTTAGACAGCATCACCACCAGATGGATTCGTAGCTGGCTGACTGGCCGTACTCAGCATGTGGTCCTCGATGGAACTGCATCTACATGGAGGGAAGTGTGTAGTGGGGTGCCCCAGAGCTCTGTTCTGGGCCCAGTGCTTTTCAACATCTTCAATGATTTGGATGAGGGGATAGATGGGGAACTCATCAAATTTGCAGACAATATCAAGCTGGCAGGAATAGCCAACACTCCAGAAGATAGGCTTAAGATACAGAAGGATCTTGACAGACTTGAACATTGGGCGTTATCTAACAAATAGGAGTCAATATCTACAAGCAGAAGAGGAACAGAAATGTATTCTTCTGTCCCATGCTTCTTGCAGTGACCCCATATGGCAGAGGTCTGTGCTGAAGAGAATGGAGCATATAGCTCTATGAACTGAGATTGTGTGGTTAAAAAAAAGAAGAAGAAGCACTTTTGTAAGTGGTTCCTTCACAGAACATCTTCCATGCAATTATCCATTACAGTATATTCTGTTTTCACTTTGAATGTTTGGCTTTTCCTTGGAGAGGTGTTTGAGGAAAGATGTAGCAAAAATATATTCCACCGACCATATTCTCCTGAAGGAACTTGAATATTACCCCATGGTATATTAAATGGCCAAAAGTTAAAATGTTGTTCAGCTGGTACAACAAACATGGTGTATGTTCAATAATGAATGAGACTGACCTCACCAGTCTATAACCCCTCAATGGCCATTGCTAGCTCATTTTAAAATTCTTTGAGGCTCTTCTTGCAGCCTAACTTGTGTAACAATTATTATGCCATTTGCCTGTAGCTGCTACCTGCTGTGAACCAAAGGAACAAAACTAAAACAAGCTTCGGATTATTTTATGTTTGTCTCTCTGATTAGTGAAGGCAGCAAGGGCAGAGAACACACTATACTTCAAAAAGGAATAGTCACTGGAAAGGTCTGTGGAGTGGAGGGCAGTAGCCAGCTGACCTGATCAGATAAATATATTCATAGCTATCAAAGATTAGGACTACAGAAAAAGCTAAAATTTGCCATAGTTTCAGAATCTATTCAAATATATTATCAGTTAAACATATATAATTATAACTGGTCTTGCAAAAGCCATTTAAGAAGAAGCTAAAAAAAACTATTCTTAAACTGGATCTATAAATGCATCTGTGGAACAAAAATATAAAACTGCAATTTTATATTATATTTCCTGAGACAATTTTTTTTCTGCATGGAGTTATATGAATTTAAATATTCAACTAACAAGTTGGCTTATGTATTCTAAAACCATTATTTAAGGTAGCATCTGAAACAAGCATGATTATTCATTTGCTTAAGTCTTCCAGCAGAGACTTGAACAAACCTCATCAAGTTTTACTACAAATAATTAGTACTACAAATATTCTGTCTGATGACTTTGGCTCACTAAAAATCCATGTATCCTTTTTCAAAGGAAGGAACCAGTGAGAAGGATGAATAATACACATTGTTGTACATATCAACTTTTCTTATAATGGGCATTGGTGAATATTTCACTAACATCTGAGAACTGGGGATCATACAAACAGTATTAAATTTACAAACTGGACTTAAGGGATCCACTCGCCAAATCAAAATAATGTAAATTAAAAAACAATTCAGTTCAAAAATTCTTTCTTCTGACAATAGGCTCATTAGAGACCGTCTATTAAGAATTCAATGACATTTATAAAATAAGAACAGAATTACAATACCTCTTTTTTTTCTTGCTTCCTTAATTTCTTCACACATTTTATTGAATTCTGGATCCAGTTCAGCAGCAATGATAGCATGTGCAGTATCCTTCAGAGTACAAGCTCTGTGTCTAATAATTTTATCTATAAAATGAGTATAGTACAACTTTATAGTATCCTAACGCACCACAAAGACATTTTCTGTTGATTTTTATTTTTTTCTAATAATTTTTGCCCTAGGAATGCCTGGAGAGAGGTATATATAAAAAAATGATACATTTACATCAAACTGGAATTAATAGTGATTAAAGAAATCGCTAGTGATTAAAGAAATCCATCATGAGTCAAATAGCAAACATGATGTAAATAGAAAGACAACTTAAGTTTTCCCCTACACATACATAACTTAAAGAGTGGTACCATTTCAAAGACAGAAAAAAAAAACAGAAAATGAGCAAGATGCTGCCACTGGCTGAAAAACTGAAGCTGAAAATGAGGGATCCCTCTGAAGATTAGCCTAACAATCAGTTGCTGCTTGCAACTAATGGTTGGCCTGGTGAACTTAACCTCATTACTACTTGTCTGTCATTTCATGCCTTCCTCTCTCCTCATGTCTATTCTGGTCTTCTCCCATTCTCTTTCTCTTTCTTCCCCTTTCCCCACAATCTACACACACACCCTTCCACTCACCCCATTGCTAGCCTTTCTTTCTTCTATTTGTCTATTTCTGCAGAAAGGATATTGGGAGTGTATTTGTTGGTAATGTGTTTCTATGTGCAAGATAAACTGTAAAAAAAAAAAAGACCAAATGGCATTTGCAGATAGGAATCAATCAATTTTTAAAAATAGGTAACTTATTTTATAGGCAATTAACTTTAAACGATACTTATTTATACAATTAATTTTTGCCTCTTCCCTTTAAAGCTATTAAAACACCAGAATTCTTCCAACAGGGCAGGGAATTTTATACACTCTCATTTTTTGAAGGCCTTTACACAATATATAAATACAAATGTAATTATAACAGACTGACAGGAAACAACTGGAGAAAATAACAAAATACAAAGACAGAAATAGAAATAGAATGATTGTGGCAAAAGAAACAAAGATAGTTCAATAATAATAGGTGCCTTGGCTATAATCCCAAAATATCTCAAGCACCACTGGAACACACACCATCCACATTGACAAAATCACCATCACTCAACTGCAAAAGGCAGCTTTATTTAGAACAGCTTCCATCTTTTAACATCATCAAAAACATCTGCCTATCTCAGGTCCTGGAAGAACTCAATATATCTGAATAAAAATGCCAAATACAATCCAAACACCTGTCTATGCAATCAATCATAAATAACAACACAATATACTTTAGTAAATAATCCTAGAATACACACTTCTGGCAAAGCTAACTTTCAAACAATTTATATTTACGAGGAAGCCACACAGATATTTAAACTGCAATTGCTTTACAGTTAAATATTCTTTCATATTTAAGCAAATGATGAAAAAATATTTTCTTACCTCCAGGATCTTTGTCAGGATTATATTCCAAAGCGTTGCTGCAGATGAGATCTATGTCTGTTAGAAAATCCTTTGCACTTAAATAGTTGTGCTTATCAATTCTACTTATTATTGTAGAAAGATCCATTGGCTCTTTGATCACTTCAAGATAATCTGAAACCTGTAATAAAAAATGCAAGAGTGACACAGATTTATCATAACTCTTATATTCAACAGCTTATTTACATTTTCAGAATATTTAATTCAAAACACATGAATCATCAAAGCTACAACTAGCACCGCTATAATCAAAACAATATACTGCTGTGTTCACTCTGAAATTCATTTACTCTGACTTTTCAGCACAATTTAAACATCTGCTTGTACCAAAGTCATCTTGTTTTGTATAAAACAAGTAATTTTAAACAAATTTTCATTTTAAATATGGCATATGAATAAAAGACTTCAAACAAATAATAAGAAGCCCATTCACATATATTTCTATGGTATTTAGAAGACCTGGCAAATAGTTGAAAACAGAATCATAAGAGTTGAATAGTCTAAAATAGACATTACATATTATCGGGCAAAGCTATGCTATAAAATTAGGGGGGAAAGTGGAATTTCACCCATATTACTGGCCATCCACATTACTATATACTCTGATTTGGGGGCACGTCAACATTTGTGAATCTCTGTACAAACATCCGATATTGTTGCTCAGTTACACCTAATCAGTACAAACATTCCTAAAATATAATTCTTGCTTAGAGATAAAGTGTCCAAAGTATTAATCCAATACATAGGGTAATTTAAATAACTTTAAACATTTTAGTGAAGAAAAGGAAAGAAAAGGAAAGGATATAATTTCTCACATTTTAAAAGCTGTAAAAATCAATTGTTACAGGGCTATGCAGATTCTATATTTGAGGCCACGTAGGTATTACAAAAAGAAATATTCATAATTAAAAATTATAATGTGCGGAAGTATTAAAAGGATGTAGAATCTAATGCACGCAAAATACCAATCTATAGCACAAACAAAACAAGAAATCTGACTTTGGAAAATGCCTTCTTGATCTAATCCGTTTATTCCATCCTCTCCAAAGAAAATTATATACTAACAAATCTGGGCCAAATCTTATCCATTGTTTTGAAAAGGAGAATAAAAATTAAATATCTTGTGTACTGGAAGACAAATTTTCAATAGTTAATCTTAAAATGTCTCATGTTCATTTTAAAGAATCTTGTAATCATCAAAAAAAGCACCAATTCTTGCATGTGACAGCAATATGCTAGGAATGGATTTTAATGTAAAGTTTATTATGTTAAACTCTTTAAAATTTTTCTCTTAATATAATATTCAAAAGAAAAAGATTTCCTAAACTGGGTCAGGCTCAACACACACAGCAGTATACAACCCTTTAATGAGTCATTCCTGTTATGATTTATGACTATTCCACACTGTTATCAACTCCTTTATGATTACTAATAAAAAATAATTTAACCCTTTAAACACCCACCGTTCTTTAAAATGCTACCATTTCTTTTTATGACATTAGACTCAGGTTTTGAAGCCATTCAAGCAAGAAGGCTCAGTGCTTCAAAATACCTCTGATGCTCAGTCCACTGTATGAATGAAATTCTGTCTTCACCCATTGGAGAAAAGGACAGAATGACCCAGCAATCACAGTTCCAAACATCAAGACTCCTTGATTCCTTCTAAATGACTCTCAAAAAGCAGATGGGTTCAAAAACAAAATCTTTAACCCAAGGAACTCTAGAATGAGTCATTCTAACTTCACCCACCAAACTAAAAATATATGTACTTTTAAGTACAGAGCTGCAAAATATAGCAATGGAATTCTGGAATACTTTTTAAATATTTTATTTTAATTTTTTTAAAAATAACTCTATTCTTTTCAGCCTGAAAGTCTGCTTTTTAGTATAATTTTTTTCTTTTTACAATACTGCTTCTTGCTCATCCTAATTTCAGCACTGATATTCTCCCAATTGTAACTACCTTATTTGAAGATTATGCTTCAAATAAATTAGTTAACTTTTTATACAGGAGGCCTCATAAGAGCACACGGGTGACTTTAAGAAATGCTTGATGGAAAATGGCTCTGTGTAGATATAAGAAATATATAAAAGGAAAAGCATCTAGCTGCTAATGTGACGGTATTATTTGATTTGATTTCAGCCAGAACTCTCCACATGGAAACTTACCCTGAATCTATGGCAATGACTTAGAAGACATCAAGCAATATTTTAAAACACAGTGCTCTGAGCAAATGAATTTAACTCACTGATACCTGTGTTCACAGACTGAGGACTAGGCCTAAACTTCAAGTGTGCAGTGGATATAGAAAAAAAACATACCTGTTAAAATGCCAGGTTTCTGAGATGTAAAAAAAAAGAAAAATCAGACCAGTATAGCAATAGCAATAGCACTTAGACTTATATGCCACCCCATAGTGCTTTACAGCAGCAGTCTCCAACCTTTATGGCTTGGCAGCTTGGCGGTGGGGGAGATGGGAACTGTTTCACACAAGCAGTGGGCCAGCACACACATACCAGCCCGCTGCCTGCGCAAATCAAGCTGTCCGTGTGCCCCAGCCCGCTGCTTGCGTAAGTCAAGCTGCGCATGTTCATGTTAGCCTGCCGCTCATACAGCCCGGTTCCAAACAGGCCCGGTAGTGAGTCATGGCCCAGGGGTTGGGGACCCCTGCTTTACAGCACTCTCTGAGCAGTTTACAATGTCAGCATATTGCTGCCAATCTGGCTCCTCATTTTACCAACCTTGGAAGGATAGAAGGCTGAGTCAACCTTGAGCCGACAAGAATCGAACTCCAGACTCTGGGCTAAGTTAGCCTGCAATATTGTATTCCAAGCACTGGGTCACCAGGGCTATTTTTTCTATCCTGAATGTAACATAAGCTGTACAATTCAGTTGAAAAACAAACTCAAATCTTTTAAGTGGGAAAAATAATAAAAATGTACAATAACATGATTTCGTAAGTATGCACACCCTTAAACTAAAGTACTTTTTGATTTTTATGATAGCATTCAATCTTTTGGGGTAGGAGCCTATCAGCATGGCATATCTTGCCTCGGGAATTTTTGTCCATTCTTCCTTGCAAAAGTGCTCTGAATATGTCAAATTGACAGGGCATCTCCTGTGCACAGCCCTCTTTCAGGTCACCTCACAGATTTTCAATTAGATTCAGGTCCTGGCTCCCACTGGGCCATTCCAAAATGTTGATCTTCTTTTGGTAAAGCCATTCTTTTGTTGATTTGGAAGAATGCTTAGGGTTGTGGTTTGGCCAAAAGGTGAAATTCCTCTTTATCTTCAGCATTTTAGCAGAGGCCTGAAGGTTTTGGGCCAAAATTGACTGATACTTGGAACTGTCCATCATTCCCTCCATCTTGACAAAAGGCCCAGTTCCAGCAGAAGAAAAGCAGCCACCATGCTTCACTGTGAGTATGATATACTTTTGATGATGTGCAGTATTGCTTTTGCACTAAACATACTTTTTGCAATGATGGAAAAGGTTTGACCTTGGTTTCATCACACCATAACACGATTTCCCACATTTTTGAAAGATTTGATGTATGTTTTGTAAATGTAGCCAGGCTTGGATGTTTTTCTTTGTAAGACAAGGTTTTCATCTTGCTACCCTACCCCACAGCCCAGACATATGAAGAATACAGGAGATTGTTGTCACATGTAATACACAACCAGTACTTGCCAGCAATTCTTGCAGCGACTTTAGTGTTGCTGTAGGTCTTTTGGCAGCCTCTTCGACCAGTTTTCATCAATTTCAGAGGGACATCGAGGTGCTGATAATATCACTGTTGTGCCATATTTTTTCCATTTGTTAATGACTGCCTTCACTGTGTTCCATGGTACATCCAATGCCTGAATTTTCTTTTATATCCTTCTCCTGACATACCTTCTAATAATGAAATCCTTTGATGTTTTGTAAGCTCTTTGCAGACCATGGGTTTTGTTGTAAAAGGCAACTGAGTTAAATGTCAAAAAAGTCCTACTAGAACAGCTGAGTTTTATATAGGCTTGAACAGAGTCACTTTAATTGATGTCAGGGGTGAAATGACTAATATTTACCATCAGTTTGAATGTGATTGGTTAATTCTGAACACAGCCACATCCCTACATATAAGAGGGTGTGAACACTTATGCAGTCACATTATTTTAGTTTTGTATTATTATTTTCCCCACTATAAGATTTTACTTTATTTTTCAATTGAATTGTACAACTTATAGATTATATTAAAGGTGGAAAAAAAGCTGAATTGATTTATCTTGGACTGATTTTTTTTTACATCTCAAAAACCTGGCTTTTTAATGGGGTATATAGACTTTTTATATCTACTTTAGGCTCTAAGGTATATCAACTTCTGCTATTTTCCGAGATTAAGATCTAGCCCAGTACTATACTTGCAAAGTGCAGTTTCTTTAGATCAGGCTTTAGATCAGACATGTCAAACTCGCAACGTCACGTGACATAGCGCGGCGTATCGGAGCTTTCTCCCCATTGCCGGCAATGGGGTGGACATGGTTTCCTCAGGGCGGCAGTTTGACACCCCTGCTTTAGATCAATTAACACCCTCACATGTTGGATTATTCTCATGCTGATAGAAATATTAAATTATAATTGAACACATCTGAAAATGTTAGGATAAGAAAAGCTGGTTTAAATAATATAAGAGCACATAAATGGTACTCCTTAAATGCCATTAGGGGATCTGGGCTGCAAAATTCCCTTTCAGTTTTGTATCACTTTGCTGCCACCTAGTGGTGATCTGGATTTTTGCAGCCTTGATCTTGTAGCTCTATCTGTGAATAATCAAACCCCATACATGCTAGCATACTGGAAATTACATTTTTTTCCTAAGCACATCACAATTTTTTATTTCTTGAATTATTTGTGCAAAATTGAGCTCTGAAGTTGACCAAAATGAGTAGATGTCACAAGTATTAATCTAAAAAGTGACACCCTATCTATAAGAAATGACAATATAACAGCTTTGCCTCGTAATAATTCTTTTTCTTTTTCTGTGCAAAGCCCAGAAAATTTTAAAGTGGCTTAAACTTGACTAGGCAATTCCAATCCTTTTGTTAATTTGTTATACAATAATTATAGAAATAAGATCAAATGGTGCAGTTAGAGCCCTTAATTTTTCAATTCTCTCTTCAGCTAGAAAAAGGTAAGAGGAGAGATTAATGTCCAATTTGCAGAATTTTCTGGATTAGGCAATTCATTAATTTTTTTCTGACACTTCCAATAGCTCAATATTGTTTTTTCAGGCATCTATTTCTGTGACCAATTAAAATTATTGCCACATTATGGAAGATACAGCCTGAACTAGGCAGTGTTAGCCAGATGTTTACAGCAAGATAGCTGTGGCTTTAAAAGTTAGTATTATGCCACCATCCCTGAAAATGCGCAAAACAGGTTAGATGTAGATATTGTCTATGAAAATAAGTAAGAGGTAATTTTTGGATTAATTGCTAGTAGGTCAACTTCATTGTTTGCACATTACTGAAACAAGACCTCTTCAATATCCACCGGTTTGCTGAAGATGTTAAAGCGCTTGTCTGTAGCCAGCCTCTTGGTAACATCTCTGAGAAACAACCGCAGCTCTCTCAGTGTGTTTTCTTCCTGGTCTTCCATTCTCTGCTTTTCTGCCTCTGATAGCTGGCGGGTAGGAGGGGACAATGCAAGAGGAAGCACCTCCATATCGGAAACAGCTAAAACAAAACTGGAAGTCAGGCAAAGTAGGGTTTTTGATTTATAACCTCCACATATTGAACCCCAAACCATTATGCTCATCTCAGTTTTATAGATCATGGAAGAACCACTGAACTGTAGAACTTTACAGTAAGCAATCGTACCCATCCTTCTTTCAATCAAGCACGTGTTGACACCAAACTTGATGGCAGGCATTTCAAGTGCCGACGTGGCTATTTCTATTAATGAATACCAGGAAAATTGTGCAGAGTATAGACCACAGAGAATCTGTGCTCCTCCAGATATTCTACAAGTTTCCAGCATTCCTTCATCACTGCCATGCTGATTGGGGCTAATAGGATTCAGAAATTCAAGAATTCAGAAATTCAAGAATTGGAGGACCAGATTTTCCCCAGGCTGTTGTAAAAGATTTATGCAGTAGACACATTTGTGACACTTAATTCCAAAAGGAGTTGGGACCAGGCTTAAGAACCGTATGGTGTGAGATTAGAAATCCCCCTCAAGCATTTTCAAAGGGAATAGGAGGCACACAAATTTTTCAGGCCAATGCTTACATTTAGTTTTTTAAGTGGTCTGCCAGATAGCCCCATAGGGGGAAAAAATGCCAAAGGCTACTATCCAACTGTCTATATACTACTGTGTTTCCCCAAAAATAAGACCTACCCTGAAAATAAGCCCTAGTTTTGAGGTGCGGTGACAGCTGCCTCGCCGGTCCACTTCTTCTGCGGCCGCTCACTGGGGTGCCACACGCGTCAATCTGGAGCTCAGTTCTCAGCTTCAGAGGCATTCCCTTATGGCGAAATGGAGGCCGGGGGCGATGCGCGCGAGTGGCTGCCGAAGAAGTGGGCCGGCTGGGCGGGGCTATCAGTGCCACCGTCGTGAGGTAAGACCATGAAAAAGACATCCCCCCCAAAATAAGACCTGGTGCCTCTTTTGGAGACAAAATAAAAGACCGGGTCTTATTTTCAGGGAAACATGGTACTAAAACTGTTGTGTCTATAGTCTTTAACTGGGCAAAATGGTACATCGTATTTCAACGAAAGTACCTCAAGTGGGCTAACTTAAAGAATGCTAGGACCCATTACTCCCAAGGGAATAAAATATGGGGAAGTTGTGGATGCTTCGGTGCTACTGGGCTGCTGCTGCTTCAGTGCCAGCACCATGCTTCTACAATCATGTGATCCTCATTTTCAATATTCCCTGACAGCTTCCTGGTCCCTCGTGTATTCCTTCACTCTCTCCCCCACCCAGCAGCAGCAACTTACTTGTATTCTGGGAAGGGAAGGGAAGAAGAGGAAGGGAGAGATTCAAACACTCACTACCAGCTTTCCATAAGGAAATTCAACTATGACCCGACAAGTCACAGATTGTTTAGTTTGATTTCTAATTATCCTCACCAATGAATTCCCCCCCCCTCTTCAGAGCTATTATATAAAATGCTCACGCAGGTCATATTTTTACTGAACTACAAAAAAAAATTATTCTGGTTAGTCATTGCCCGCTCAAGTTCTATCACAATATAATTCAGTAAGAATTTTGCCTGAGCAGACAGCACTCCACCCTCATTTATAGTGACTTATATTAGCTATTTCATTCCACACCTGCATTTACCCAGCCTGGAAATATTATTCTGGAATTGTTAACAGTTCAATTTGGCATGACCTGCAATCTTTGCCACTTAATTTTTTATGCTCAAGTCTGCAATGTGTATTAGCTGCTAATTGTGAACAGATCTGGGACTTGAACTTTGTCATTCTCCCTGTCCTCCGATTCCATCTTAAAGCTAAAACTGAAGAGTTAGCAAATTATATTTGAATATAAATCCCATGTAGTATAATGGTCTATTGATGTTATTTTTAATTTTTAAATATACAAACAATATGATTTTCATATGGAAAAGGCATACATTCCAGATTTTCTAAATCATTAATTTACCTGTGTGTTTTCTCCTTGGAGGAGGCATTGATGCCTGATTGAGAACCAGTTCTTGGAAAAATTTGCACCTGTCTTCTTTGCTTGGTCTTTGAATATAAAAAACCTCTTCATACTGAATTTTAAAGATACACTTCACCTACAGGAAAATAGCAGCAATTAGAAGTATTGAAAATATATTCGGGCTATTTTGTAACCAATGGTTAATGGTTCAGCAATGAGGAAGAATACCATTCCATATGTAGAGAATTGAAATATTCTGCCACTTCATAATCTATGATGTCAGGAATATTTCAAGTCCCTGTAAGTATACCTGTTGCCCTCTATGAATGATGGACTACAATTCTCAGCGGCCCACATCAGTTATTCCAGTGGTCCAAACAATGAAAATTGTAACCCAACACTACTGACTAAATGCTATGAAAGGATATTTCCATGGTGTCTATAAAGTAATATCTGGTCTCAAATTTCTTTCTCAAAATAAGCTGACTTAAACATCTGTTGCCTAGAACACTGAGTCCCACAAAAACTGAAAAAACAGAGCAGATGCCTGGAACCATGTACCATTTGATTATGGCTACAATAGGTGAATAATGAAGAGGCTGGTATCTATGACCATGTATTCACTCTCTGCTTATGAACTTGCTATGAACATAATAGAAAGACTGATACATTTTACTCCTTGTGGTCCACACTATATTTAAAACTGAGCTGTTCTTTTGTATCTAGGATTACAAGTTTTATAACTTCTTTTTGTTTGACTTTACTTTCTATTTGTAAATCTTGTAAAACATATAACATTTTTAAAAAAAATTAAAAAGACAGTCTCTTCCCTCCTTGCCCTTTCTTGACTACTTTATAAAGGGTCAAAATGACCACTCAAACTTTTCTACTGTATATGGTATAGCAGAATTAGATAGGTCATCTTGGCAAGTAATAATTTATTATTAACTAGTTACACTAAGTTCATTGGCAATAATTATGGCTAAAACAAGGTAATACAGAAGAAAATCAACAGTTCGCAAAGTTTCCCAATTAATGCAAAGCCAGTTACTTCAGCAATCACTACATAGAAGCTTGAGCATTTAGATCAGATATTTTTTCCATTTTAGATCATTTGTAAATATAATTACCATCTAGACAAAAATGTGGAGAGCCAGTTTGGTGTAGTGGTTAAGGTACCAGGCTAGAAACTGGGAGACTAAGAGTTGTAGTTCCACTTTGGACACAAACTCAATTGGGTGACCTTGGGCCAGTCACACTCTCTTAGACCTAGGAAGGAGGCAATGGCAAACCACTTCTGAAATATCACCAGTAAAACTGCAGTCTCAGAGGCATCCCCACCCCAAAAAAAGACAAATACTTTTTTAAAAAAAAATCTGTCTAATAATTCATATTATCAAATTGCAACCTCCATTTTTAACATCTAACAAAAGAATTGTTAAATTCCCTCAGATAAAAAAAGATGCTTATATAATGCAGTGGAGGGGAGGTTTCCCTCCCGTATACAAAAACTGACAAATTTTACATCAACAAATTAGGATGCTTCAGATATGGTTCTCTATTACCTAAGTGATGCTTGTTTATTTCCCAAGAAATCACTCCATGCTCACCTCTTCAGGCAATTCACTATACATGGTTTCAGAGGTAGAAAGTAGAAATATTGGTGAGAATGATGGTATGTCTTGCAGCAAAGTTAGAAAAGTTGCTCTCACAGTTTCACTGACCGCTTCCCACCAATCACCAATATGAGGCATGTAAACAATACTTGGTAGCGTTCTTCTTGCTTCACGAAATATCTAGTTGAGAATATTAATATTAACAAATATTAACATTAACTAAATATTTAGCCAATACTTACAACTGTGCACAGAAATAGCGTTATGGAACATTTCAAACAGATGTTTTAGTAGAATATCCCTAAGTGTTTACATGTGTATATGAACATTTGTCATATAAAATGTATTTATAGTTTCAAATTCTCCTTGGATAATTGTACAGTAAAACCTTGATTTTATAGGCTCCCATTCAGCAAACTTTGATTTTACTTGCAAACAGGAAAAAGAATAATCTACACTATTTATGTGAATTACCTAGAGTATGTACATTGAAATAAATTATATAAATTTTGCAAATTCAATTTTATCAAATATTTCACCTTAGTAGAACTCTTCCCCCAACTGTTCCATTAAATTGTTAAATAAATGCTATACAATAAAACCTCAATCTTTCACTATAACAATGGCTTTACCTCTGAATATTAAATATAACGTACTGCACATATAAAAATTATTATTTAAAATTAATTTTGAAACATAATAGCTTATTGAAAAATGATTTTTCTATACACAAATAGGATCTATCAAATCCTAAATTTTCACCTACAGAGTTAATGAAGAATAAACTATTTCTCTCTCCCGTACTGTCCTTGCTCCTCCATTATAAAAAAGGACACAATATATTCCATTTGCCTGAGAGTTTCACATTCTCACAAGGCAAATGGAACATAGTGGATCTTCCCAGTGGTGGCCCCCATCCTTTGGAAGACTCTTATCCCAGAGGTATGGCTCCAACAAATTAAGTTAAATTCTATTCTGTTTAAATGTGCTTTTCGTATTTCATTTCTGGAGCTTTCGTGTCTCTTATAATTGGGGTAAGATATGAAATAAAATGAAGTACTATGAACTACAATACAATAAAAGTCAAAGAAATGTTCATTGCTGCAACACCTTTAGTGCATAAACTAAAGTCAAGAAGAGAGGAAAAACTATTCTAAAATATGAAAACACCTCTGAACTGATTTTCTATGCTGCTCTCAAACACAATTTGGTGGTGAATAATTTTGCTAAATCTATAAAAAAAAAAGTTGGTTTCTGAAATGGTTGCTATAACCATTGTTATCTTTCTCAGTGGCATATCTTAAGCATATTTGTTTAATTCAAGCTTCACTAAGGACAGCAAGTAGTTCATTCTGTAAGGATTAGTCTGAATCTAATTTAAACAGATTCCTTTCCTCCACTTGTATTTCCATATATAACCTGCATTTCTTCTCTGACTGCGTGCTTAATCTGTATCGTCCAAAAACAATATATTGTAAGCATAAAAAGCTATCTGAATGACAAATCAGAGTAAAAATAACGAGAAAGAAAGTTCTTTATTGGATTATGCCCATCTCTTTCGTTATCATTCAAAGTCTTCCATGCACAACTTTGATACTTAAAACAGCCAACAATATAGTCACAGTTTATAAGTTAGGCTTATCTTGTAAAACAGCGGTCTACAACCTTTCTGGCACCATGGACTGGTTTTGTGGAAGACCATTTTTCCACAGACTGGGGCAGGGGGAGTTTCATGCGCAACCTATATCTTGCACTCACTTGCCTGGTGAGTGCTGCTCACCAGGCAAGTGTAAAGAACTTTTACACTGTTGTAAAGAACTTTTCTTAGTATCTTTCTTAGCTGGTCTTATGATATCTCCTATTTTCATTAAAACTCCCTTTTTTACAACTCTGTAATCCCTTAATTCGGGGTAGAATTGAGGCGACTGGATGGAGCTGAGTGTTTACTGGCTGGATGCTCTTCCTGATATCATGTGGAGTTCACAGTGGACATTTTTTATTTGCACCCTTGGAGAGAAACATCTGCCGCTACCTAGCATTGAACTCTCAACCTTCCAAGTGGGAGGCGAGCGTCTTCCCCTTTAGGCCACTATGCTGCTCTTATATCTCTTACTCTCAGGTCCCTATTCATTCAAGAGTCATAATAAACCAAGAGTAGAATAACTCCAAAGACTTGCACTCAGTGGACATCTACTTATATAAAGAAAGAAAAAGACAAGGATAGCAAATCCCCTTCCTTACTAGCACTGATGATGTTACCTAGTTTGGATAATGAAACGTTTGCAAGAAAACAAGCTGAGAGAGCATCAAGGACCCCTTATTTCAATTTTGAGCTGCAAATATTCTCCTTTATCAGTTCAAAGATAGCAACATATACAACTTTTCTTTTCCTCACTAGAAAGTTCTGGAAACCTCCCTGGAACATCCTTACAGATAACATCAGGGACTACAGAAGGAAAAGAAGCTAGCAAAAGCTATGTCCAACTTTTTCCTCCAGCAGGATTATTTATTCCTCAAATAAAAATTAGCTCCAAAAAAATCTTGTATATAATTTCAGTGTCATCTTATCTCCCTTCAATTTACCAGCCAGAAATACAGGGAGGATAGATTTAGAGATTTATCTATCTGAGAGCAAATAAACTTTATGAATACATCAGAAAAATCTCTCCCGTGCAGGCCATGTAAGGGCATGAACAGCCTTTGCCAAGGATATCAAATAAAATCTGCCTTTTTAAAAAACTTGGTTTTATATAAAGAATCTAACATGTTTTATATAAGGAATCTATTATATAAGGATCTATAAGGATCCTTAAGTATTTCTAGCAACACTATATATCCAAGAAACATTGAGATATTCAGCATTTATAATTTAATGAAGGCCTCCATACACACTGAAAATTCAATAGGTGCTACATTAATCAAAAGCGATATAAATGCAAACTAACCTGTGCACATGATTCTTCAGGCGTTTTGGCACTGACCGAATAAAGTGCTGGCAGATCTAATCTGTGTACAGCAATTTTTTCAAGAGAATGTAATAAAGCTGGAGCAAGGTGTGAAGTCTGACCTGAATCCCTTTCTCCGGAAAGTAGTAATCTTGGCCTATAAGATGTGGGCTGGTGATAAGCTGACCTGCAACAAAAATAATATTTTGATCAGATCTACAAAGCACTTATCATAACTTCTATATTTCTACTACATTAGCAGCATGTGAATAGCCTGTAATATTTCATTGCAGTATATTTTCAACATTTAACCATTTATCAATACTTGGATAAAGAGTCAAACTACTGTGTTTACAATTTACAAAGAGATTAATGTGAATTGTGTTGTATAAGCAATAAGCAAAATGACTAATTCCACATGAAAGACTTGTTCCAGCTGTATTATATCCTCCCTGTCTCAGGCCAGTACAACAATCACAATAATCATTACTGAGGAATAACTCTGAATTGTTTTATACTATTTTACTTTATACTTTATTCTGTTTTAAACTGGAAATTCATTTAAGCAATGACAAACTGTAATGATTATAATGAACAAAAACAAATTCAGTTTAAATATCCTATATATTTAAATATCCTATATATTTTCTGCTGTAGAACTTTAAATATAAAGTTTCTTTGAACATCTTTTTGCTTATATTATAGGGACGTGTTAAATATTAAAAGAGTTTTACAACACTCAACCCAACACAAAATATTACACCTTTTTGAATAATTAAAGCAACCATATCTCTTGCAAAGCTCTTCTGGGTATTCTGGAAGATGCTGTTATGCCCACTTCAATTTGCTTTCTGCCTAGTAAAATTTACAATCATGTTGTTCCTCTAGAAAAATTACCCTAAAAGATTTCCTTGAAACACTGCAAAATTTTTACAATTTCAAAAGTCAAATTAAACTTTATTACAGATGAAGACCAGCATATTTACTAGAAACGTGATATCAAAGACTTTAAGTACTACTATTTTTTTAAAACAATTACAAAGTTTCACTATCCTTATAAATCTTCCTATATTTTATTGGTTTTATTATATGATTGCAATAAAACTGTTCTGAGTAAATATATATATAGCAAAATAAGAAAATGAAGCCCTTGACCTTCATGGAACATTCTAGAGCAGGGGTGTCAAACTGCTGGCCCGCGGGTCGGATGCGTCATGGCAAAACCACGCCCACCCCATTGCGGCAATGGGAAAAAAGTCGTGATACGCCACGACACATCATGTAACGTTGCGAGTTTGACACCCCTGTTCTAGAGTGTCCTACAGAAGTTGGAGTGCCTTCCTACCACCTAAATTGCTTTATTGATTCCCAAAAACCTGCAGCACTGTTTTGTTTGTTGTTTGTATTCTGAAAAGAAGCTTGGACCAGAGCCATGATCCATCTAAGGATAGAAAAAAGTAGGGTTTTTTCCCACTGGAAGGGAAGAAGATAATTGTTTCCATCTGTTCTCAAGAAAACCTCTGCAGAATTTTTTTCTCAGTCAGAAAATTTGATATCTCAACAAATCTCAGTGCCACAATGCTTCCTACTGATGGGGTGGCAGTTTTTTAGAATGTTATATAAAAAGCAGAATTAAGCAGTTAAGTGTAGGAAGTAAACATTTCTATCTGCTTTGGTTTATGTTTCCCCTAGCTTCTGGAATCAACAGCCTCACAAATCCCTTCACTGGCCAGAAATCAGATAAGCTTCTTATTGTGTCTACAGAGAGCTGTCCAATAGTCCCTTTTAAAAAGATATGTTTCTTGCTGGAGAGGGACAAGCCACAAGATCATCTGGAGGTTTGCTGTGAGAAATGTTCTAGGCATCTGGCAAATAGTCACTTGAATTTGCTTGAATTGATTTAGTATTGGATTCTGACTGGACAAAGCCTCTCAAGATGATAATAGCAAGATTATCTGTGGTTCCCTAGGCCTAGTTTGAGTGTATAACTCATGAGTCAGATCAGGTTTTCAGGTCTACTAACACAGCCACCTGTTTCCAGATAGTCCTCATTTCATCACCAGTGACTTAATGATGTTCAAAGTTACAACCAAAAGTACTTACAACCCAGTTCCAGAGTTCCATCACAGGAGGAGGCACGCGTGTGTGTAGTGTGTACACACACACACACACACACACACACACACACACACACAGAGACACAATTGCATGATCGCATTTTGAGCCCTTGGCAAAGGTCTCGCCTTTATAGCTGGCTGCAGCATTCCATGGGACATTACACAATTTACTATGTTATTTGCCCTTCATGAGGCTGCTGGATTAGGCAGTGGTGGGATTCAACCATGTGAACAACCGGCTCTCTGTGTGGATGCCGCTTCCAGAAGTCCATTCTGGGCCTGGGCAACAAAAAATTAGCTACCAGTTCTGCCGAAGTGGTATGAACTGGCTGAATCCCACCACTGGGATTAGGTCATCCGACAGCTTGGTGTCATGTATTATCAGCACATCAATACATTGATGACATTCAGTTGTATATTTGGATACTCAGCAGATTAAATTACTGTATTTTTCCATGTACAGTATAAGACGCTATTTTTCCCTGCAAACACCCTGTTCAAAAATCAGGTGCGTCTTATACAAGTGCAGCGTCTTATACACGAAAAAATGATGGTAACTTCCGCAGCCCAGGGCATGCCTGTGTGGGTTCTTTACATGCTATCATGCTGTCTGGTGCAGGTGTCAAGCCCCTGTAGGCTTGCCACTAACGGGAGGGGGCAAGATCGTCGGATGGCGGTGTCCGGAGGCAGCAGATGGGAATGGATGGCAGCATGGATGGCAGCGACAGCCCTTTCCCTCCCTCATACCTGTATGCTGGCCGGGGACCCTGTGGAACGCAGTTGCGAGGCCGTCCTGCTCGATAACAGCGGCCGGCTGAACTTCCGGATTTGCCAGCTCAGTTGTTCAGCGCTCTGCCAAACAACTGATCGGCACGGAGAAACAGCGGGGAGTTTAAAACCTGCCTTCGCTTCCCTTGTCTTGCTGCCATGCCGGTGTTCACACCGGTTTGTTTACCAGGGTCGGAAGGCTGTTGCTGTGAACTGACTATGCATGCTCATTGTGCCGGATGTGGGTTAGGTGGGTAGGGGATGGGGCCCACCAGGAGGCATCTATTTAGAGCTTTGTTTGCTGTAAGCTTGGAACTCACATGCCAGTGCGTCTTATACAAGAGTGCGTCCTATACACGGAAAACTCCAGTAAGCTAAAAAGTTCTAGTGTATAGGTCTGCATGGGAGGAATGGGCTTAGGCTCAACTCTGACAAGACTGAATGGCTCTGGATGTCTGGACCACGAGTCTGGATATATTCCATTTTTAGACCTGAACAAGAGTGTACATTTTTGGGGGGGACTGGTACACAATTTGGTGAGTCTTCTCGAATTCATAGTTGCTACTCAAGAGTTAGATGGCAGCAATGGCCAGGAAAACCTTTCTGCAAATTCATCTAGTGTATCAATTATCCTATGTCAGAAGCAGGAGGCACAATCTTTCACATTTGCAACATTTGTAACAATGCACTCTACATGGGGCTGTCCTGGAAGACCATTCAGAACCTGTAGCTGGTCCAGAAGGCAGCAGCACAGGCCATTAAAGGCATGTCCATATAACACCTTTGTTTTGTGAGTAACAATAGTTATAAGCAGGCTTTTGGGTGCAATTCCCTCGGCACCTGGATGAAGCAGTCTATCTAGACCCATACCAGTCAGGCTTCAGGCCGGGACACAGCACGGAAACGGCATTGGTCGCGTTGGTTAATGATCTCTGGAGGGCCCGGGACAGAGGTTATTCCTCTGTCCTTGTTCTTTTGGACCTCTCAGCGGCTTTTGATACTGTAGACCACGGTATCATGCTG